CAAAAAAAAAGTTAATAAAAAAGTCTTCTCTGTAGCTTTAGTCTCCCTGCTCTCCAAGGACATGGCACACAATTCTTCCGATTCAAATAAAGATCTTCTGTTGACTCTTATTCTACTCAAACTGTTCACTATTTGAGTCATTTATAATGTCTACTTTCCTAAGTGTAAAAAGCACTGACAGACTAGAATTCTTATGTGCATTTCCCTGAGTCAAGGGAAAAAAAGTCTAGCAGGGTGGTGGTGCAGGCTTTTAATCCCAGCACTTGGGAGGCAGAGGCAGGAGGATCTGAGCCAGCCTGGTCTACAGAGTGAGATCCAGGACAGTCAGGGATACATAGAGAAACCCTATCTCAAAAACAAAAGAAAAAAAAGTCTAGCATGGATAGGTAACTGAGTCTTTGCAGATCTGCACTGTATCTATGATCACAGCTGAACATCAATTTGGCCTACAGCAGCAGCAGTAAGTCTGTCTATGTTCTGTATTCCTCAGAATTTTCCCATCAAAGTAATTTATAAGAGTCTGAGGCCACTCTGGGCAGCACCCTTCCAAGACACAGGGGGTTGGGGTGGGGGGAGTGGTAAAAAAAGGAGACAAAAGATCATTGCAAATCAGGATGCTCAACAAATACAGTTACAGCTGGGCTTGGTGGCTAATCCCACTCAGGAGGCAGAGGTAGGTAGTCTGGTGAGTTTTGAGGCCAGCCTGGTCTACACAGTGAGTGCCAGGACAGCCAGCACTGAGTAGAAAGACCTTGCCCTCATTACTCCTCACCACACACTCTTGTGTGTGTGTGTGTGTGTGTGTATGATAATGTATTATTAAACTACTAGTGCACCAGAAGCTAATAAACATAAAATAAACTGGGCAAGGGTCAGGGAGGGCTGTGTGGTAATAACAGGAATGGTAGTTCTGGGTCTCACTGCACTTTATTGAGAATGGACAGATGCCTAAAAAGGCAATCTTAAGTGTTGGGCTCTGCTCTCTAGTGTTCTTTATCTGAGCCTTTTCATTCTCACTTCCCTTCTATCACTCTATACGTTCCCATAGTTTTCTCATTTTACCCAGTTAGAGCTTCCTTTTTAAATGTCAATTTGTAGTAGGTAGTATATAATGAAGGAGTCAAGAAAAACTTTTAGGTGATGGAGGGGAAAAAAAGAGTCAAGTGTGTGAATCAAATTGTAGACTGATTGTAAATCCTGTTTGTGCTACTAATTTAGTTTAGCCAACTATTATCTGTAATGTAATAAGATTATATTCTCAGCCATGGTGGCATATGACTTTAGTTCTAGCACTCAGAGGCAGAGGCAGGTGGATCTGAGTTCCAGGACAGCAAGGACTTGACAGAGAAACCCTCCCTAGACAAAAAAAAATATTTTCGCATAGTCCTTATGAAAGGTAAATACAGAATAGAGAGATGGCTCAGTAGTTAAGAGCACTCACTGCTCTTCCAGAGGACATGAGTTCAATCCCTACATCAGGAAGCTCACAAATGCCTGTAACTCTAGCTCCAGAGGATCTGATGCTCTTTTCTGGCTTCCAAGAAGCACCTGTATACACATGGCCTACACACACATGTACACACACCTAAATAAAAATAAATTAAGAAAAAAAGTTAATATACTCAATCCACCGCCCAGCACAATAAACATTAGCTGTTTTTCCTTTCTTGTGATCTGTCTACAGCTTAAATTCAGTCTTCTTTCTCACATTTCTCCTTTTTCTGGATTATTCAGAAATAGCATTAAACCTGGCCAATAATCCTCTAACATTAAGAAGAAGGCAGAGGGCCGGGCGGTAGTGGCAGTTATGACTAACATAACTCTGCACTCGGGAGGCAGAGGCAGGCAGATCTTTGTGAGTTCGAGGCCAGCCTGGCCTACAGAGCGAGATCCAGGAAGGTGCAAAGCTACACAGAGAAACCCTGTCTCGAGAAACAAAAAAAAAAAAAAAAAAAAAAAAAAAAAAAAAAAAAAAAAAAAAAAAAAAAAGGCAGAAAACAGTTGAAGTTGGAGAGCAGCCTGGGCTCCACACAGACCTTGTGTCCCACAAAACAGGCTGGGAAAGAACTCCAGTGGTAAGATGCCTGTTCAGTGTGAGGATAAGTTCACAGCCCGCCTAGGCTATAAAGGGAGTCCAAAGCCAGTTTAAACAAGTTAGTGAGACTCTCAAAATCAGTCTTATGGGCTGGTGAGAGGGTTCAGAGGGTAAAGGTGTTCTGTTGATGTCAAGCTTCCCAGATGATCTGAACTCTTTTTTGATCTACTCCAGCATGGTGGAGAGGAACTGACACCCTAGGTTGTTCTCTGACCTCCAAGTCAACCTTGACCATAGAGACATTTTTCAGTCTGCAGACACTTGTTCTCAGTCAACCAAACACTGGTGTTTTGTTGTTTCAAGTCAGTATGAAAAAAAGTATAAAAGATAGCCTGAATGTGAAGATCAGTTAGTAGAGTGCCTATCGTGCATAAAGCTCTGTATTTGATTCTAGGCACTGCACAAACTGAGTGTGGTGGGGCACACCTCCCAAACTCTGGAGGGAGAGGCAGAAGGAACAGAAATTCAAAATTATCCTTGGTTACATAGTGAGTACCAATCAGCCTCAGCTACATAAGACCTATCTAAAATTAAAAAAAAATAAAATAAAAATAAGGAAAAATATGAAAATTCTTATCGGTAAACAACTTGTCTGAATATAATGCACTCTGGGAGGCAGAGGCAGGCCAATCTCTGTGAGTCTGAGGCTAGCACGGTCTACAGAACAAGTTCCAGGATAGCCAGGAAAACACAGAGAAATCCTGTCTCAAACCCCTGGCTCCCCACCAAAAAAAAAAAAAAAAGAAATTAAAAGAAACATAGGAACCCAAGTATGTACAGCATAGAGGGCACTAAGCTGAAGTGCAACCAACTGACCTAAACATTTTTATTTACTGACACAGGTTTTGTTTTCACTGTACTTTAAGACCCTTTATTGTTGTTTTCATGTGTCTGTAAAGAAAACCACGTCCTTAAATCATTCTAGATACATGACCCTTTTGCAATATAAAAACAGTAAAGCCCCTTCACCAATGCTGGGAGATAGAGAATAAATGAGGGAAAATGGTATTTTCCTTTTACTTCATTTCAGATTTGTATTTGAGTGCCTGTAGGACAAGAGAGCATCAGATCCCCTGGTGCTGAAGTTACAGGTGTTTGTGAGCCACGTGATGTGGGTGCTGGGAACCGAACCCCTGCAGAAGAGCAGAAAATGCTCTTAACCGCTGATCCATCTCTCTCTCAGATAATGGTATTTTCACAATGAACTGTCCACAGTATCATTCTGGCCAGAGTCCAACTTACTCATCAGTGAGACGGACTGTGGGTTTTTATATACTTAATAAGATTTAGATATCATAAAAAATACTTATTAAAACCATGCCTTAACCACAAGTGAAGGTCAAGCAGATGGTCTGAATAAGAAAACTAAGTCACTGAAGTCAAGAGAACTTGCTAGTCTGCAGAGAACAAAGGCTACCTTTCTTAAAACTAGCCCTACTCAAGCCAAAACTAAAGCAAGAACACCGTTTTCTCGTTCATCTCGCGCTAAAGAGCCTGCGGTCCCTTACCTCCCTCGATCATTTCTTCCCACGGTCTCCCGGGTTACTTTCCCTACTTTTGCATGCTTGCCAAGACACATTTTAAAATAACGGAGACAAACCATCGGGGGCTGCAGCAATTCTTATTCGACAGGCCGAAGTGGAAAAACTCGGCTAGAGAAAAAACTCAAGTTCCGATTCTCTCGTCGCTCCAGCCTCCGAGTAACTTAAATTCGAGTTCCCGCTAACTCCCGCACCGCTCGGCCGACCGTGCCGGCGGCGGACCGGCACTCCGGCCCTCGCTCCCAGTTCCTCCCGGTTCCGGCCGTCTTTCCCTCCTACACCCCGGATCAAGGCGCCCTCCACCACGCGCGAGCAAAAAAAGGTTTTTTTTGTTTGTCTGTTTCCTCTTTGGGAAAGCGGGGAGAGAGGGTTCATTTCTGGAAAAGATCTGCTCGTTGGCGCGCGGGGCAACTACGAGAGGAGGAGGCAGGGTCGAGAATGGGGCGGGAGCACGGTACTATCCATCAAGCTCTCCGCGCTCGGGGATCGCCAGTCTCCTCCGGGCCTCATGCAGCAGGGCTCAGAAATCTCTGCTCACCCCCTGAGCCCGGGTGGGACTTGTGGGTCCAGGCTCGCCCAGGCCAGGTCGAGAAGGTAACTCTCTCGCTGCCCGGGACCCGAGGGGGCGGGAGCAAGAGGAACAAAGCGGCGGCCGCCCACCGCCAGGACCCGCTTACCTACGGACAACAGCTGCATGGCGTGAGTGAAAGACGGGTCGAGCGAGTCCTTCTCGGCCATGAGTTCGGGCAGGTACTTATTCTCCGGCTCCATCTTGGCCGCGGCTGTAGCTGACGGCGGCAGCAGCGGGGTCGGCGCGGACCCCACGACAGTCGCGTCGGGACCCGTGGCCGAGGGAGGCAGCAGCGGCGGCGGCTGCGTGGCGGGCGAGGCCCGAACGCCCCCTCGGGGCCCACCTCCGCCTCCCCGGGACCGGTGAGGCAGCGGTGACGGCCGTGTCGGGGTCTGACGCACCGAGGGGTGGACACCTGAGGGGTCCATGGAGCCGCTGCGGCCCGAGGACCGGGTCAGGCGCGCGGCAGGGTCGTCCCGGCGCTGCATCGGGGAGGCTGTGTGGCGGGGCGAGCGAGGGAGCGACGCGGCGGCGGCTGAGGCCCGAGCGGCGGTTGGCGGGGGTGGAAGAGCGGGAGCGACCGCGACCGAAGCCGACCCGAGCGACCCAGCGAGAGAGCACCGGAAATGAGGCGGCGCGCGTGCGCAGGCGTCTACCGGCACCGCCCTTGAGTTTCTCCGCGGAGAACAAAGTCCCCCGTCGGGCCACGGCGCCTGCGCCGACTGAAGACGTAGCCTCCCCGCTCGGGCTTCGAGTTCACTGCGCCTGCGCGGGCGCCAGCCGCCTTCGTTCGCTTCTTTTTTTTCCCTTTTCCACGTGACGCGGCGCTAGCGGTACACGTGTCTCCTCCCCCCCCCCTCCGCCCCCCGACACTCAGGCGGAGGGGGCGGGGGCTGTGGAATGTCTTTGTCTGCGCGCGGGCCCGCCGAGCGTGGGGCAGCGGACCTGTGCTTCGTGGGCCACGCCTCCTCCAACGGCCGAGCCTCGGGAGATCCCTGGAGAGATGTGCTACGGAGAAGGAATCGGAGGGCCTCCCCCCCTCCTCCCCTCCGGCTAGGAAATGAAAGGAACGCTTCTGGGGACCCCGAGACGGGCTAGAGGGTTAAAGCGATGTGAGGCCCCAAGACAGGGAAAGGCTGCCCCAACGGGATGGGAAGATGGGAGCCCTTGGTGAGGCTGATCCAAGGAGTAAGTGGCAGGCGGGTGTGAGAAAGGGAAGCCTGGAGGGAGAAGTAGAAGACTAAATGCCACTCATTACAGGACTGCTACCCAGAAGGGTCAATCGGAGACTCAAAGGCCGAAGAAAGGGGCTCCAGACCCAAGTAGGGCATCCAGGAAGTCGGATACTAAGCTTTCCACGATAGCAGGTTCAAAACTGGCGAGAGAATTCTTTTAAAGGATGCATTTGGGGTCGGATCCGCAGGTAAATCTGCTTGTCGCCTGCGTTCTATCCCCAGGCCCTCAATGGTGGAAGGAGGACCGGCTCTCACAGATTGCCCTCTGACCTCCACACTCACGCTGGGGGCAGATTAAGATGCACCATTGTAGTGTGCACCTGCGCTGAGGAGGGACAAACACAGGAGAATTACCGCAAAAGGGAGCTCCAAGCCACCGAGGGTATCGAAGGGACACCCAGTCCCCGCAAAACAAACCAAGAAGCATTTTGGTCAGATTAGACAGAGGGCACACCTGCAGTCCTAGCACTGGCGAGACTGAGGCATTTTAGCGCATACATTTTGTTGCCTTCTGTTTATTCTGTAAAAAGCTGATCACAGGCCCAGTCAGTCCTTAATCCGCGATGGCTGAATAGTTCTCATGCTCCTACTGCTGGTATGAATGCTGGGTCCTTCATAATGGATAGTACTACACTCAAAAAGACAGAATTACCCCCCGCCCCCCGAGCTGAGGCCAAATTCAGGGCCTTGAGCTTGCTAGGCAAGAGCTCTACCACTGAGCTAAATCCCCAACCCCATTTCACCGCAGAGTCCTGGCTGGCCTGGTACTCCCTCTGTAGCCCAGGGTGGCTTTGAACTCACAGCAATTCAGTCTTAATCTTCAGAATGCTGGGATGACAGAGATAAATCACCATGAGACAGGCACTTAATACTGCTCTAAAGACCAGGGTAGTAGTCTCTGAGGTATTCCCCTCATCCTGAGGCGCCATAAGCAGATGGAGCCCAAATCTCTCCCATTAAAAGCCTGAGGCCGAGATGTCAAGGTGGTTCAGCCTGTCAGCATATTGTCAGGTCTGATTGTCTGAGTTCAGTCCCCAAGACCACAGGGTGGGAGGAGAAACGTGACTCTCCAAAGCTGAGCTCTAGTCTCCATATGTATGCTGTCACACAAGAACATAGACACACACAAAAATAAAGATCTAAACAACTTACAACTTCCATGAATGGCTATTAACTCAGCTTTAAGATGCTAAGTTACCGAAAAGCTTGAGTGTTTTTGTTTGTCTTTTTTGTTTTGGGGCTTTGTTTCTTTGTTTTGTTATTGTTTTTGAGGCAGGGTCTTACAACGTAGCCCTGGCTAGCCTGGAACTTGATATGTAGAAGTCCACACAGAAGTCCACCTGCCTCTGCCTCTGGAGTGCTAGGATTAAAGGGATGTGCCCCCACAACCACCTGAAGAGATTTCTAAAATGCTATTTTATAAATTTTTATCCCATTTACGGTCACCTAACCAGGTGTCTCCAGCATTTGGGGTTGAGTTGCTCCTTGAAACTAGCCATTGAAAGCATTCAAGAAAAGCCACCCCAAGATATTTTGCTTTGATACATTGCTTACCAATAGGCAATCTGGTTAAGGATTTCTAAATGTCCTTATCTGTCTAAAGACAGAGCCTTCGATAAGAACTCATTTATCAATTCTCTCGTCAGAGAGTTCTACCACAAACTTTTATCACAGGAGGGGACACAACCCATCACAGAGACAGACTGGTACAAATTATTACACACTTTTTTGTTTTCTGGACAGGTCCTTGTTTGTCCCAGGGTAGCCTCAAATGTACCACATAGCTTGCTGATGAGCTTGACTGGATCCTCCTGTCTCCATCTCCGTAGCTGGGATTACAGTCTTCCACAACCAACCCCCTGCTTTTGCTGCACTGAGAATCTAACTTTGGGCTTTCTGTATGCTAGCTAGGCAAGCATTCAACCAACCTGAGCTACATTCTAAGCAAAGTTATGAATATTAATTTTATATAATTCATATAATAACCAGTTCTGATGACCATTACTGGACCTTTGGAGGGTTATGTTTTATTTTTATAATGCAGTATTTTTTCATTGTTATTTATTTTTCTATTATCAGCTTGATACAGTATAAATTCTTATCCTAACAGTGAAATGTTTCATTGAGGCTTGCCCAGTAATTAAGCAAAACCAAAACTTATTATAAGCCACAGTCATCCTAGTCTGATTGTTCTTTGCTTTATATCTAGTATCCACTTATAAGTGAGTACATACCATGTTTGTCCTGGGTTTGGGTTACCTCACTCAGGATGATATTTTCTAGTTCCATCCATTTGCCTGCAAATTTCATGCTATCATTGTTTTTCTCTGCTGAGTAGTACTCCATTGTATATATGTACCACATTTTCTTAAGCCATTCTTCAGTTGACGGGCATCTAGGTTGTTTCCAGGTTCTGGCTATTACGAATAGTGCTTCTATGAACATAGTTGAGCATGTATCTTTGTGGAATGATTGAGCATTCCTTGGGTATATGCCCAAGGGTCTTGAGGTAGATCGATTACCAATTTTCTGAGAAACTGCCATACTGATTTCCACAGTGGTTGTACAAGTTTGCACTCCCACCAACAGTGGAGGAGTGTTCCCTTTGCTCCACATCCTCTCCAACACAGACTGTCATTAGTGTTTTTGATCATAGCCATTCTGACAGGTGTAAGGTGGTATCTCAGAGTCGTTTTGATTTGCATTTCTCTGATGATTAAGGATGTTGAGCATTTCTTTAAATGTCTTTCATCCATTTGTGATTCTTCCTTTAAGAATTCTCTGTTTAGCTCTTTAGCCCATTTTTTTAATTGGATTGTTCAATATTTTGATGTCTAGTTTCTTGAGTTCTTTATATACTTTGGAGATCAGTCCTCTGTCAGATGTGGGGTTGGTGAAGGTCTTTTCCCATTCTGTAGGCTGTCTTTTTGTCTTATTGACCATGTCTCTTGCCCTACAAAAGCTTCTCAGTTTCAAGA